AATTAAATCTTCCACTGAAGTGAGCTAAAAGGTCCATTTAAATAGAATACTCCCTTAACCATGCTTTACATATCACTGCAGGTTTACTAACTTACAACTACACAGATCAGCAAAGGCAGATACAGGGCTCAAAGGGGCCTTCTGGAGTGGCTTGACCAATCTGCCAATAATTTATGCACATGCTAAGAAGCAGCATGCAATCAAAAGGAGCTTTCACCTGCAGTACTTAACTCAGACCAGACAGGTGAACAAGATGTAATTGCTTTCAGTGACACTGAGAGTTTATCCATAAGGTTATAAACCCCTCCTTATAAACACACAGCAGCTACTAAAACTGAAACAGGACTATGCAATAATATTGCATAACATGGAGTGAAAACAGGGGACCAACCAGGCCAAAACCCAAACTGGCCACAGCTGAAATTAAAGACAGCACTAATGAATACTGCAATCCAAAGTCTGGGAAGGAAATGAAATTCTTCCCTGTCCAGCTTGACTGTGGGCTAAAGATACTTGGAGAACTAGTGCTTCTTCGAAAGAAATATTTTGTACGCAGTATCTTGTAATGTTTTGCAGGAATGGAATAAAAGCCATTTAATTAAGTGAATAAAAATGTGAATGAAGTACACAGAGTCAATATCTACCTATCTATATTTAGTATATATGTCTAGTGTTAGTTTCTGCTTTATAAGTTTTTTAATGTGCTAATTTTTATAATTTATATATTTTTAGTAGACAATAGTTAAATCTCTGACACTTTATTGTCAACCAAAATAAGCAGGAGACTGGCTGCTAGCACAGGAAAAAAACAGTTTCTCCTGACATTATTTATAGCTGCAGCTCTTTATCATCATGTACTTTCTAAAAGTGGATTATCCACTTTTACCTTTCAATCAGAAATGGTATTTACAGATTTTAAACAGGTTATGCAGTCATACAAGGGCCCTCTTTAAAAGGAGTTTCTTAAATCCAGCTACCTCGTTGTTCATAGGCAGAAACTGTCATTCTAGCTGTGAAGGATCTTGTTTGTCAAAACTGAGAAGAATAACAGTTTAAACTATTTTATCTCAGACAGAGATCAACCGAGTCAACCAATCAAGCAGATGGAAGAAGGAGCAAGCATAAGTTGAATCACAGAATCATAGAACAGCCTGAGTTGGAAAGGGTCTAGCAACAGCTGCTTGACCTCACCTACTACACAAGGCATCCATGGGATTCCTCTGTTATCCTTGCTAAAATGTCAGATTTTTCCATGTATTTTTTTCCCTGACAGTAAAACAAATAGAAAAAAATTATAAAATAGAATTTTGTGGAAGGGTTCATAATTAACTTGTTAAAGGCAAGAGAATCAGAAATCAGTTACTCACTGTCATTATTACCAAGTGAAAACATTTCTTTCTACCATCTGCAGGATCTGTGCTAATTTTGTACTGTGTTCCTCTCTATTTATATTTATTAGAAAAGCGTTAACATTTAATTATTTTAAAATCGAAGGCTTTTATTTTTTCCCACAAACAGGTGCTACTGTGGAAACTGGAAGCACAGTGCTGGGGTAAAAAGATGGCTAGTTAAAGTGTGGTGCATTCAGCTTAACCTATATTTCTTTTTATTTACAGACTTACGTTGTGATTTGGGTTCTCCTTGCATCTCTGCAAACTACCAGAGGCTGTAGGCCATGCCAACATCTATATTTCTATCAGAGTATTTCAATTTTGCACAAATGTTCATGGGTATACCTAATTTTATCCATGTTCTTCTAGTAAAAACCTGTAACTGTGGAAGTGTTTCTGTATGAATAATCTTTCCATATCTCAGGAAATATTTCCTGGGCATTAACATCTTTTAATTTAATAACAGCCAGGCAGCACACTTCCCTCAGAGCTTCTTCATGGGAGCCTGCACTGAAACCATTTCCTTGACATAAGACAGCCTTGAAACTCTAACACTTTGCTATAAGGTTAAGTTTGTGCAGTCCAAAAATTTGAGCATGGTAAGGTTTTCCAGTATTAGCCCATGACCTCTGCTGCTGAGGAGGAGAGAGACAAGATAAAGGAAAAAGTAAAAAAACTCTGTTTTGGAGAGATTATGGCAGAAAGAAATCTCTGGAAAAGAGGACAAGACACAAATGGTGCTGAAAGCAATCCTGACAATCAAGGAGCTACTGGGCTAGAAAGCTGGTCTGCACGTTTAAATACCCTTCCAAAGCCAGGCTTGAGATTGCCAGAAATTGAAGTTATATTCTACTTAGAGAAGAACAACAAGAAGGAAGAGAATGTGCATGTTTGAGGAAGAAACTAATATCAGAACTTTCGCTCTGCTGGGCAAGTGCTTCACGGTACTTGGGGCAGGCAATGAATGCTCCACTACTGCCAGACAAATTGAGCTGCTAAAAAACCTCTCCAGGCCATATTTCTTCCCTTGCAGCTGGGTTCCTACTCAGAGTGCTTCATACCTTCATCTTGCCAGATTTCTGGACAGGTCATTTACACTTGATAGGCTCAGTTCCCCATCTGTAGGACCGAGATAATGATACTTCCCCACCAAAGAGAAGTGCTCTGCAGACAAATGTGGATGACTGTTTAGGGGCAGCTATGTCAGAGCCTGCATGAATTCCTAAGGCATGAACTTTGTGTCCTCCCTAAAAGTAACAAACAAGAGCAGCCTTTATATAACAGGATGCACAATGAACATGAGATGGAAAGGCTCAAGGTATTATGTTTACTCCCAAAACAGACATTTGTTATTATTTTCTCTGCATCTCCTCCAGGCTGTGGAGCCCCTACTGAAATAATTAGCTTCCTGCCACCTCAGCTCAGGAAGGCTGATGGAAAGCATGAGGAACTTTTTATTTTTCCTTATGCCTGCCACCAAGTCAAATCTTTTCATTACCAAAGGAGCTGCTGCAGGAGCTACCTTTCATTCCCTAGAAAGGACAGAAAGAAGGAATTCAGCTGTCACACTACAAAACTTTACCAAAATAAAAAGGAAAGGAGAACTGATTCAGATGCACAACTTTAGCCTGTTTCCTAAGAGATGCAAGATGAGAGCTGCAGCTATGAGCCTTGCTTTAGAAGGAAGCTTTGCATAGCACTACCACAAACATGTCGGCATTTTGAAAGCCAGGGCCAGTGATCTGCATTCTGAAAGGCACAAAACATCTGCCTTTCTGAAAACATGGCACTGTGTGCCAGGGCAAGCAGTGGCCTTCTGGGATGTACAGGCTATTAAAAATGAACAAAAAACTCCAATACAAAAACAGGCTCAGGAATAAAATGTTGAAATACCACTGACTTTGATTCCATTCCTCAGGGTCACCATCTTGGTCTTCTCCCCTTTCATACACATCCAGCACTCCTGCTGCTCACCATCCCTGGGAGCTGCATCTACCTGTACAAAGGCAGGTTACTGCCCACCACTGATGGTCAGTGCCTACTCCTCTTGGTAGCAACACTTTGTGGGCATACTAGAAAAGAAACATCCTTTCTTTCATTGGGAATTTGGGAATATTTTACAGCATACTGTGCAATGGAACCAATGTAAACTGTAGCCCAGTATATATTTTTTAAATGACCTAATGACATTGTGTGTTCCATCTACAGATGGCGTGGGAAGTGCCACAGTGACTGCTGAGGTGTATTAGCAGTTTGCCACTTACTGCTCAGAATAAATAGGCAGAATGTTCCCTGGAGCCAGGATACTGACAACATAACCAAGAGACAAACAAGTATGCTGACTATGAAGCAGTGGTTACACTTTATTAGATCTGTCAGTAATTCTGTCACTCCACAGGAGGCACAATTTGAGCTCATGTAACCTGTATCTCTGCCCCATTAATCCTGACTAACAAGTAGGAGGTGATAACTGTTGTAACTAAGAAACAAAATTAAATATAAAAAATCTACATTTAATAAACACCATGCAGTTTATTCAAATACCCTCAAGGAAGAAACCTGGACCCAGCCAAAGGATGATCATCTTATCAACTGTATCCTAAATGAGGCCTGACGTACAAGGCTAAGTAATTTCTGCACAAACATAGATGATAATGTGTACTCTGATGATTTGTGACAGAAATTACAAATTTTCTTACATATTTTAGTAGGAAACCCATAATGAAAATACAATTGAAAACTGGAAACAGGATAATGAAAATATTTTTGATTTATAGTGTTAAATAATCACCAAATAGAATGAAATCACAAAGTGAAAAACAAAAAAACCCTCTGTCTCACTTCTGTTTTGCATATTAAATATGCTAGCTTAAGGGCAAGGTGAAAAAAAAATTCCAAACATTTCATACCAGTCCTGTTTGACAGCATTCCTGTATTCCTGAACACCACCACCCAGCCCCCCTCCCTTGAATTTCAGAAAGGGAAAATCCACACAATCTTAAAAAGACCAGATCCTCCTACATCAAGAAAAGAAATAAACTACCACTACCTGCATGCTCTGTGGGCAACACATCACATAGCATGCTATCAAATTTCAGACAAAAGGCTTCAGAAGATGATGTCCACCTCTCCAACACAGTTTTCCACTTTCCTGTAAGAACCCCAAGAAAGGCAGAAAACCCCTGAACAAATCCTCCCTCTCACAACATCATTACATAGTATATAAAAGCAAGAAGTAACAGTTTCTAAGTAAATTAAGCAAAATATGTTTCTTGCCTGGCCAGCCCTACACCAGACAGGAAGGAGAGCAGAGGATTCCCACCAGAACATATCCATGTGTGGAGCACATCTCCCACAAGAGCACTCATGGCTAACCAAGTGAACAAAGTGAACCAGCAACGACAGCCATAAACCATACCTACATCTGTAAACTGCATGATATTGAAAGCCATTCATCCATTACATAAATCCAAAGGGCTTGAAAGCTTTTTGTTATGGCAAACAAGATGGTCATGAAATGGTTACTGATGGAGCAAGTGGCATGTGGCACAGAACTGTGCTTGCAAGAATGACAGAGAGTTTGAACAAAAAATATTGAAAAATTCAAACCTGTGACCAGTTCTCTGATTTCCAAATCTGTAGTCTTGCGGAGTAACCGTACTAATGCTGGGATACCACCACAGTTTTTCAGAGCTATTTTGTTGTCATCATTTGCCTTCCCATATACCAAGTTTCTCAAAGCTCCACAGGCACTACGGTGGACTTCTGTCATCCGATGGTCCAATAGGTCCACCAGTAATTGTATTCCGCCTTGTCTTCTTATCTGAAACAGGACAAAGTGATAATCACACAGTTAGGCAATGAACACCAGTACCAATAAATGCTGTCCAATGTAATGAAGCTGTGTTTTATGCAGGCTGCCGGGCAGTAAAGGTGTGCTGGTAACACCACAGAGCTGCTATATTTCACTGCCTTGATTCCTAGTATTATTCTTTCAGTGGCAACAAAACTGTACACTGACAAACCAGAACTTCTGTAAAAGCAGGCAAAATTAGTCAAGTGTTGCCTCATCAAGGTTTCTCACGGTTCGTCAAGGTTTGCCTTGGCAAGAGTTTCTTCTGTGCTGGAGAAACATCATCTCCTTCAGAGTGTAACACATCACAAGCTAGAGAAAAAACCACAAGGCTACAGCAAACAAAACAAAGCACTTAACATCATAAAGTTTTTAGTTTTTTTAATATCATAAAGTTTCCTACCTTTACATTTTATTACTGGGAATAGGAACAACTACTGTAGACTCAGTAAGGACATTATATCAACTAAATTGGGATGAGCAATGATGAAAGGAAAAGGAGGAACCACCAGAAACATAAAGGTAAGGATATGAAATAAATTGTGGTGAGCTTGTTCTAACAATATTGAGGGAGACCCTTAAGTGATGCAGAACAGAAGTCTTATGTGTACGTACCCAAGGTGCCTACAAAATAAATTTCTAATTTGATATCTCATATAAAAATAATTCTAAAATGCATATCTAAAAAATATTTGAGACAAATTATCAAGAAGTCAGGAATACTAAGTACAATTTATTATGAAACCATCTCAAACAAACACTTTATTGTTCTGTGGCACTATTTGTTCTTCAAAGAGTAATGATTTTTGGATCTAATGTTAAGAAACCACACAGGTTCATAACTAACATCTGAAGAGTACAATGCTTTAGCTTCAAGCAAATTACACAGACAACTCTGAAAAGGTCAAGAAGTTTCCCCATATGTGTCATTGGCTAAGGCCCAAAACAAGCCAGGCATTTCAGCTGGCCATTTTACATTTAGGACAACAAAAAATAATTTGAAATATTTGTGAAGCAGTTTTTGCGTGGCCGTGTGTTCTTGGGGATCTGCAGGGGGAAGTCTTGGAAGAAGGAAACAGTTAAAGTACAATAAAATCTATTAGGAATTCAAGCTTAAAAGTAATGTCTATACAGTTACCACACAGCTTTGGTCTAAATGCCAAAGTGATAGTGTTTAAAGAGAAACTAGGATATTTTTCCTTAAATAGGCATTATATCAGTACTAATGTGCAACTTTCTGAGCAATATGCAGGTCACCTCAAAGACTGCAGCAGCTGGCACTACATGAAGCATGAAGAGGTATGAATGGACATTGGTAAAATATATCAACTTCAGGCAGAAAAATTCACCAATCTTTTTGAGACTTTATGCTCCTGCTGCTTAGAGAAACCATGACCTCTTTCAGTTTAGAAATGAGAAAAGCAGGTCAAAGAGAAAAGGTGCTGAAAAATATATCACTAGTCACATATTTTGCATGTGAACAGGATGACTTGCAATTAAATAATTAGCTCATTTCTGAGCCAGAAAAAAATTGACCAAGTTAAACAGGGAGAGACGTGGAGTGAATCTTGCTTGTTTTGTTTTGTTTGCTTGGGTTTACAATCCATTACCATTTAACCTTCATATAAAAATACATTTGCTTCCCCTACTAACCAGATTTTAAAAACTAAGCATGCTACATGAAGAGCCACCTACATGACAAAATGGATGACATTTACTAAAAAGACTAGGAACAAAAATTTATGCATCAGTTCTACAAAAGGTGAATCAACCACAGAGCTTCACACTTCAACCTTGGAAAAGAAACAAGATCTGATAGAAGAAAGAATACAGTTAAAAAATATATGAGTTGCCTGGTGTGATGAGTAATATCAGGAACGACAGAATGAAAACATGCCTGCTGATCTTTGTGAATTATATTTTTAAACCACAATATGTTGAATGAATATTTTAATTGCTTTGCTGCTAAAAAAAAAAGAGTAAGAATGTGAAAAAGTATTAATTTGTAGAAAAAATCATCCTGCGTGCTACAATTCAGCTAAAGACTCAGAGGGCTCTGTCTCCATTCAGAAGGACTCTGTGCCTATGCCGTTTTTCCCACTCTTTCCCTTGCACACAATCAAGAGGCATCTCATGCTCCCCAGCAGTTTATCCTGTGGATGCTCTCAGGGGATAGGCTCTGCTATCTTCTGCTCATTTCTAAAGGGAAATGTGTGGTTCTGCAACACTGAGACAGTATTCCTGAGCTGCACCTTCTCTTTCCAGTTATGGTAGCTGACAGCACACTAGTGTTCAGCTCATGCAGCTCCTCCTCTCCCAGGAACCTGAAGCCAGCAGCAGACTAAAGTGATTCAAAGATAGTTTGTTAAAAGCAAAGACATTAAATATTAATCTAAAATGCATTTCTGTCAGAAAAAAAAGGGTAATACAACAGAAATGAAACAGTTGTTACATAACACTTTACATAACTTGACAAAATTTCTTGAATTTTACTGAAGGAAGAACCTATTCTTACCTAGAAATAGAAGATTTATTTTACAAACTTTCCTTGAATTTCCAAGCTCAGGTATTTGGCAGAGTAACTGTGTCATGCAGGGAGAGATGGAGCTGATTGTTCACAACTAGGAGCCCAGTTTCTGATGCTGTTTTTTATCTGGACTCCTCTCTTGCTTTGGTTGTTTTGTGTTTTTTTTACACCAGGCCTTTATTCACCCCATCTTCATGCTTCTATCAAATATCTATATAGATGTTTAGAACTATACTCTCCAGCAGTTTAAGTAAGCCTGACAAATTGTGAGATTGTGATGGATGTTAGCAGGATCTATTTAAATGTATTGAAATAGAGGCAAAGGAAATGAAATTATTTGTTCAAGTCCTTTAGGGAGCTAAGAGCCATAGCCAGGAGGACAATTCTGACCTAGTCTCCTGGGGCAGATCTCAGCTAAGTTAGTCACAGCTCCAGTGAATTCAACAGTGCTACTGCCAAATGTCTATGCCAAAAATGCCTGGAGATGGATAAGCAGCAATTTGCACCAATGGGGCATCAAATCCCAAATCCCAATTTGATACTTCTGTCTCTTTCCTAACTTAAGATGAAGAAAACATTTCTTAATATAATATTTACTGACTTATCAGTGGCTGCTGCCTTGTTACATCTAGGAGGAAAAGAAAATAGAATATGTCAGAGTCTGCTTGACCAATAAAAACAAACAGTGGAGTACCAATTTGTCAGGAGATACAGAGGACCAACTCTATTCTTACACACAGCAGCCCCAAAGTAGCCATTTCTGATCTCAAAAGAATGACCTTCAACTTTCCAGCAATTGAGTATGCCCAGCTGCATCTACCCATGTCCCAAATGCATTGTCCCCTTTTTACACCATCTTTTCTCAAAAATAAAAAAAAAAGGATCAGAGGAGAAGGATTAACAATATTAACAAGGCTGGGTGAATCTGCGCTGTGTTCTTTCTCATGACTCTCTTAATCCACGGATACAGTAATTTCTGAAAGTTATTTTCCTTCCTTTTTCTCACTGAAAATATTTTGTGTATGTCTTTGGAAGACACTGTTAGAGAGCTGTTAAATACAGAGCTGTGATTAGGAATCTATGCCAATCAAAGTGAAAACTGAAAGAACAGAGATTACATAAATTTTGGGGAAAAAAACTATTTCCATGGAAGAATGCATCTTTCTTCTTTCATCTGAGGAATCATGTGTTTTCTTTTACCAGGACATTTTCAAACTTTCCTTTAAAGTTGGCTCTTTGCCATTAATGTCACTGTCTACTTGCTGGCCACAAGCACTTGACCAGGCTCACTGATGCCAAAACACAGGCAGACAGGACAGGAATAGGTGCCAGACTCTCTAGTACACTGATTGACAGAAGTGCACTCATGTCAGCTTGATGACAGAGTCTTCTCCTCTGACATAATATGAAGTTTTTTTACATTACATCTGAGAATATGTATTTGCATCCACACTATGAAAATAAAACTTAGATTCAAGAAGGGGTTCAGGCTGCTACTGGAGGCAGTGAAGATGTCAATTATGTTTTTAGGACAGCTTCTATACCCCATGCCAAGAGCCTATGAGAAATTAATTAATCTGTTTCAAGGTTTATGTTTGACTCAGTGGTGTTCATCCCAAGAGTGGACTGTTAGACACTTAATCTACCAGGAGTTACACATGACCAGCCTGAAGCATATGTGCTGATAAAAACAAGTCAATAAGACATCGACAATATGTCTGAAACTATATCTATATATATATATATCTATATGCTTGATTACTGTAAGAGCTTAGCATATTAATTCTTGATAGCCTGCTTTCTCAATTCAATACAATTGTCCCCTGCAGAGCAAGGGACAATGCTAAAGACCACGTGTGGGAGGTCACTGCTCAGTGGGCTGCAGAAGGAACCACTCCAAGACTTGGAGAGGTTCAGCCTGAGCTTTGTTAACTGGTAAAGTGGGGACACAGGGAGGAATGAATGGAAAGGTCCTATGGTAAAGAGCATGCTGATGGAATTGTGGCAGTGTGCTAGACTCACAGGATGTTTAGCAGAAGGGCAAGGATAGGAAAAGGGAGTCATTCCAAATGCATGGGGGAGGAACAACATGAGGAAATAGAAAAAAGGCATGATGAAAGGGATTGGTCATCTGTAAATAAGTTGTGCTTCACCATGCGTGTCTGGTCATACTCCTCATTTGATCACTGCACCTTGTTTTACCTTCTTATTAATCCTAATTGCTAACAATGGCATAACACTAGTGGACCTTTAGCTGGAATAGCTGAGGACAACAGGAGATGTAGGAAAGAGCTATCAGTGACACTGTGGTTCTCAAGGATAGATACCGGTGAGACCAGAGTGAACAAAATGTAGGTGAGTGACCTCTCTTCATATCAAGCTATGAGAAATCTGGCCCTGGAACCTGGCTATTGCTTATGGCTTTGCAACAGCAGAAGCAAAG